ATTAGGTTGACTCACTCTAATTACTTATTTATTATCAAATTAAGTGTTATATTTATAGTTGGAAAATGTTTAAAACCCACAAAAACTTTCAGAACTTGACCTACAATAATCTGAGCAAATTTTAAATTTGTTACACCTCATTAATATAGGCTTAACTCTCTTGGCACAAGTGAATTTATGGAACATGGCTAAAATTGAAAAAACTCACATCAATTGATTTTGCATTTTTCCTTCTAATCCAACCATTTATCTAATTAAAATAATTTATTTCAGTCTACAAATTTTACATTTTGATTTTAATTTCTATTAATAGGTTTCCATATACACACCTGAGTTCTTTGTATATTAATTTTTGTTTAAATATTAGTTTTATTAAGTAACCAATTAAATAAGTTAATAAATCTTTATTTTTGTGCTTATAACATTGTGTTACGTTATAATTTAAATATTACGGTAAACTACCAATAGGTCTTAATAGTTTGACTTAATTTCCATTAAGTCATATTCAAAATAAATCCTATTACAATTGTCGCTAAAAATAATTTTTTTTCACGATTTTTTTACATATGTAAAAATTAATAATTAATGACTTTTTTGTCATGATTTTAATAACTTGTCGCTAAAATTTACAATTAGTGACGTTTTTTCGTGACGGATTTTTCAAACTCTCGCTAAAAGTTAAAAATCAGTGTGTTTAGTTTGAGTTTTTTGAGTTAAGTTTTTTGAAAATTGAGTTTTTTGGTTTTCGTATTTTTTTGTTTTTAGTGAATATTTTTAAAATTTTAAATATTTTTTTTTACTTTTTTAGATGCACCTTACGTAGATGTATCTTAAAAGTAAAAAATTTCTGAATTTTTTAAAAAAAAATTAATAAATACATAAAAATACAAAAAATGTACTGAATTCTCGTTTTTTTTTTGTATTTTTGGTATTTAGTGAATTTTTAAAAGGTTTTTTTCAATTTTTTTTAACTTTTTAGGTATATTTATATTAGGTATGTCTAAAAATTAAAAAAATAGTTCAAAATATTAAAAAAATTCAGTAAAAACAAAAAAACACAGAAAATTAGAAAGTATAATTTTTTGAAAAGTGTTTTTGAAAAATGATAACCAAGCATAGTGATTGACTTTTTTGTGACGATTTTTTTAAACTATCACTACAACTTATAATTAGTGACATTTTTGTGACAAAATTTTCAACCTGTTGTCGAAAATTAACAATTAGTGACGTTTTTAATAGTGTATGATTAAAAATGCCATTAATTATCATACGAACTATTGAAAAATGATTCTACTTAGTAGAATCTACATGTAAGTCTCCCTTCATATGATATAAAGTCATCGGGATAAGCTCCCCTCCAAAACTTATCTCTACATACCTTTTCGTACTCTTTTTATGGATTTTATTTTTGACCCGCACTAATGATCTGAACTTTCTATATCGTAAGCTCCGCAATAAAGATCATTCATGCAAAAAATTAAGTTCATCGAACAACTATAAACATAAAAACAAATCACATTTTATTTTATAAAATATACGGTTTAAATTTAATTATATTTACCATTCATTTTATAAAACAAAATGTGATTTATTTTCGTATTTATAATTTTCCGATGAAGTTAATTTTTTGCATGGATGACCTTTATTGTAAAACTTAAAAGATAGACGGTTCGGATTATCGATGCAAATTCGGATTTAAGGCCTCGTTTGGGAACATGCTAATTTAGTAACTTTTTGGCTAATTGGCTAAAAAGGTAGGTAAAAAAAACTTGTATATTTGGGATGACTGTTTGACTAATTACGAAAAGCTGTGTAAAAAGTAGAGAGAAGCCGTAATTGTTGACTTTTTGGTATGACTAATTGGCTAATTGGCTAATTTAGTAACTTTTTGGCTAATTGACTAAAAAAGTAGCATCCCAAACGAGGCCTAAGCTTACAAAAAGAATATGAAAATATATAAAAAGATGAGATGGATGGAAGCTTATCCTAAAGTTATCATTAATATTTATTTAAGTTACGTTATGTGTAATTTTTTCTAATTATAGATATGTCGAAACCCATATTTAATTAAACTTTTATTTTTTTTAATTTCAATTTATAAATATCTTTAATAGAAAAATAAATAAAAAATCGAATTAAATAATTAGAGTTATTATTTAATTTTAATTTATTAATTCTCATACTATATTGACTATTAAAGTGAATATTCAATTTAAAAATAAATTTATAATTAAAATTATATTTATTTATTTAAGTTAAACTTTTTAGAGATAAAATTATTCTTCTACTAGTGGGTGACACACGCGATGCGTGTGTAATTCAAATAACTAATAATAAAAATAAATAGTAAATAATTTAATATCATAATATGTATGTTGCTTAAGTAATAAGTATGTTTTTAATTATACCAAATGTCTTGGGTTCAAAACTTACTTATACTATATATAATAATTTATTTTATTTTATTTTAGCATATATAAAGTTGCCATGTGGCATGAGGAAATTTGGGGTGGCTGTTGTGCGGGGTGCACGGTAGCCACTGTTGTGCACGGTAGCCACTGTTGTGCAGCCAAATGGTCCCATTTCAGGATCCATTTTTATAATCCAAACCATTTACATTTTAGAATATATCAAGTAGAACATACTTACAAAAAATTAAATTAATCGGATATCGTTTACCTTTTCATCCACTCACAATTGTTATTTATTTTTATAGATACAAATGTGAGTGGATGAATAGATAAACAATATCTGATTAACTTGATTTTTTTTAGATAAATCTATTTGATGCATTCTAAAATGTGAACGGTTCAGATTATCAAAATGGGCCCATTTAGCTGCACAACAGTGGTTGCTGTGCACCCTCGCACAACAGCCACCCCAAATCCGGCATGAGGAGAAGGAGGCTTCACTAAACCAATTTAGGCCTTCACTTAATAATAGTATAAACCTTCACTTAATAATAGTATAGATATTGCATATGTCACAACATAAATTTTAATATAATTTTATGTATTTGTATCAACAACACTACAAATTCATTATCAACTCAGAATTTATCCATAAAAAAAAATTAATGGTTCAAATTCATTTTATACGTAAACCTCATATTTCATCAATTTAATATCTACCACACAAACTCATTCGAGATAAATTATGAGTTACTAAATGTGGATTCATAGTATTTTTCTATTTATATACATAAACATACACATATAATTTAACAAATTTATACTTTGATATATATACATCATTATAATATACTTCATTTTGTATTTGGTTTCATCCATTTTTTTCCCCTCTCTCTCTCATGCTCTTCCGGCCAGCCCACACCGTATTAATAATTTTTTTTTGAATATTTTATTACATAAATTTGTAATGAGATTGTGTATTTTGTAATTAATATTACAAAATTTTGTGATAAAATTACACATTTTATATTCGCTTGCATATAATACTAACCATTAAAGAAGTCTGTACCATAGGATTTTTTCACATCTATTATTCAAAAGTATAACTTACTTTTCAAAATTTTATCATATATATAATATTTCATCTCATCTAATTCGATAATATAATTTATACCTGACAATTTTATCGATAATTGTATCCTATTTGATCATATCAAAATAATCTGACCACCAAAGGTGACCATATTTGATTAGTGAAAGAATTAATAAAATTAGTATAAGATTAGGTATCTAATTAAATTAGTGAGATAATTATTTATTATATATTCTTTTTGTTTTTTTGAGAAATAAGTAAAATGTTCATCCCTAACTTTTAGCAATAGGAGAGAACTAATATATTTTTTTTATTAATTAAGACCCTCAATAATATTATTAATTTTTTTTAAATTCATCACATATAAAGATATTTTATATTATTTATCTTATAAAATTTTAATATCAGTTCATAAATTAAACCTCCCTTTTTTTCATAAATTTTTTATTAACATCTCTTATACCATCTCCAACCTCAATTATATCATCAAAAAAATATTAAAAAGTGAATTCCTTCATTTTTATCAAACTGATATCAAATACAGAGAACTAGATATTTCATCAAACGGAAAGAGGTTTGATTTTTCATTGAATTTAAATGGTTACTGTTGGACCGGATGTTCTAGACCACCTATAAGACATTCGCCCAGACATCCTTCTAGACAATTGGAGATGTGAAAAAATTTGATAAAAAATTAATTTTAGTATTTGAGTGAATGGTATCAAATCAAAAGTTTCATCAATTTTTTTTTAAATTTTAATTCAATGTTATAAATGCTATTAATATTAAAAAAAGTATCGTTACATCCATCGAATTTATGCTGACCGAATTAGTCCGAATAAATTTTTTCTCAGCAAGAATTTCCCGTTTTGGAGATTTTTACTGGAAAGAAACTCATTCGGATTAATTCAGACATAGTCATTAATCTATTAAAATTTTTGGGTAAATTACAAATACACTCCTTGAGGTTTGCTTAAAATATGAAGTGCCCCTTTGTGGTTTGAAAAATTACAAATATCTCCCTGTCAGAATTTTTCACTTAACAAAATTAATTGAAAATGTAAATTTCTACCAGTTCACCTATACAATAATAAAATTATTTGAATTATTAATTGAAATAAAATTTTAACATTATTAAAAATTATTAATTTACTTGATGATTTAATAATAAAAGATCTATTTGTTATGAAATTAAAAACTTTAGGATGCATAATGTAATTTTTAGAACTACATGAAGTAATTTATAATTTAAGTAAATCTCAAGAAGTGTGTTTTTAATTTATTCAAAAAATTTCCAATTTTATTGGATAATAAAATTTACAATGCCTTGTTTGGCATGTTAGTTTTAGATGTTAAAAGATTAAAGTAGTTACAAAAAAAATAAAGTAAATTAAAAAATTAATACAACAAAATATCAGATATAAATTATAATTATTTTATATTTTCTGTTATAAAAATCATAAAAATCTAAACTTTTTAATCCAAATTAAAATAGTTAAAAAAAAATTAAAAACCAAAAAAACCAGTGTTGAGACCTACGATCTACTACTCTATGATGACTGAAAAAATGGCAGGCGCTCCCGCATCAGAGTTCTATTTGGATTCCGACTTCCACACCGGCTCGCCGTCGACACCGACACCGACACCGACACCGACACCGACACGACTCTCGTCCTTCTCTCTCCAAGGTAAGTATATCTATATTAATCTCAATATTCTTATTCTGATTAGGGCTTTTTTTACGTTGCATTTAACTTGATTGTTTTGATTCAATGAAAATGCAGACATACATTGGAGAGTGGAGGCAAACATTTTGGTTGAATGTGGGGCTCTGGTTGTCTCTACCTATACTCACCACTGTTTAAAAGTACTCTCTCTAATCTTTTTTTTTTTCTTTTTCTTCTCTCAAACAAAAATTGAGATGTCGATTTATGGTTTATTTGTGCTTGCAGTGATGTGTTTTGATTTGCTAAAATTCAGGGTTTTGATTTATTGTTATTTATGCTAAATTAGGGATGGTGGTGTTCATAAATTAGGATTTTTTTATTTGTGGTGATTTGCTCCAAATTTAGGATTTTGATTTGTGCTAAAATTAGTGATTTTGATTGACGATTTTTATTTTATTTTTAAAAAAATAGTCATGAAGAAATACTCAAAAACTGTGTTTGGTTCATGGATTTAGGGTGCGATTTGGACAGGGAAAGAGAAAATGTAGTTAAAAATGTAGTTAAAATATAGATGAAATATAACTATATTTCATTTGTGTTTCACATGTCTTTTTCCTTTCGCTTTCGAAATTCCTTCCCAAATCCACAAACCAAACATAGCACAAAAGAAAATGAAGAACATTGGAATCGTCTATTCTTAAAAAAAGATGATAATTTTTTTTCCTTGAAACATAAGTCACATAGAAATCAATTTGGTGGATCCCCAAAACCTTTACACTGATAGTTTTTCACTGGGACAACCTAAAACCTTTGCACCGATAGGTTCTTCATTAAGACAACCGAAAACCTTTATAGATTAAGGCCAAGTTTGGTATGATTGAAAAAAGACAAAAAGTCAAAAAGTCACTATCTTATTTAAGTCACATCATCTTATTTAAGTTACATCACATCTCTAATACATCACTTCAAACCCAACCCAAACCCAACCCATATTTCATAAAAAGTCAAAAAGTGCACTTATTTAGTCTTCCCAAATAGGCCTAATAAAAAAAGGAAACACAAACAATAGGGTTTTCTTGGATCAACCCAATACCAACTTCCAACACACAAACCTACAAAACACGTAGGAAGGAAGCTTACTAATTACTTCCAAAAGTCCATGGGACACACTTAGAGAAAGTGTGCAAAGGCTACAACCTAAGATGTATTACACTAGGATGAAAAATATACCTTCAAAGAGAATTCCTAAGACTTCCAACGAAGCAAGCTCTCCAACTCACTCCCAAGACTTCCAAGGTGCTATGAAGTTCTCTCAAACTGACACTCACATAAGATAGAAAATCTATAGAAAATTTGATTTACAGTGTATAACAGATGTAGAACACTTCAAGAGCTATTTTTCAAAAGGTAACACCAAGTAGAGATGTGTTAGTATTTAAAAACCCCAAATAATATTTAGTCCAATAGGTAGTTTTCTTCAAAACTCGCCTTTATGGGCTGGTGCATCATGTGCCATGGTTAGCCCACAAACATATGGAGTTTTAGCTTTGAGATCCAAATGAGCAATCCATACTCCACTATAGAGCTTTACCATACTTTGGATCTCATCATGGGTTGACCCATGCTTACGCATGGCTGGTCCACATGTGGGTCTTGTCAATAGTCTATGGACCTGATTCTGGCTTGATCAACCAACCTATTTGGTTGTTTCTAGTGACATGAAACTCCCAGTCAACCAGTCTCTGATGCTGGTTAACCAAGATGACGAAATGAACTACTTTGTCCATTCTTGAAGATCATTGTGGTGGCTAGTCCTGGCCTTATCCATAATAAATTTGACATTGATGAAACTCGCCCACAGCACCTTCCATGCCAATAAAGAACTCCCATAACATCTATGCTTTCAAAACTTCAGGCCTTGTCCAATATGGTCTCCAAAGTGATAGTGGCTTGGACTCTACCTAAGATGCGCATTATGTAGTCATGAAATCACCAAACTATGATAATCCTAGCACTAACAAAGTATACCATAAGATAACACAATAAAGGCCATAATTAAAAACATTAACCGAACTTAAGATAATGGATAAATAAATATGTCATCTAAACCATACAAACTTTTTGTATAGGAAAATTCTACGGTACACACCTCCTTAAAAGGTGTAGTCACTACAACCAATTAAGATTTTAGAGACAAATTTAGGGACAATCACTTTTTAGGGACGAAATATTCTAGCTGCCAAAAGTGTCATTATTATATTTTTAGTGACAAAATTGGATATTTAGTAATGAATTACTATCCTTTTGACTTTTCGGGATAACCTTTTAGCGACAACTCTCGTGACGGCAGAAATTGGTGCCCTAATTTTTTTGTGACAAAAATTTTACTTTTAGAGAAAAAAATTTAGTCCATAAAATCCAAAAATGTTGTAGTGACCATACATTCTAGTTATGAAGATTTGTGGTCTTAGTTATAAATCATATTGGTGATAGTTTACAGAGTTTTGTGGTGGTCAAATTTGTGGTGAACTTGATTTGTGGTTGGTGGTTGGTTATGAGATGTTTGTGGTGTTTTTGGTTATGACTCAAATTGGTTTTAGTTACGAGACTTTGTAGTGTTTGGTTATGAACCAATGTGGCTTTGGTTATGAGATTTTGTGGTGTTTTGTTATGAACCGGTGTGGTCTTGGTTATGAGGTTTTTATGGTGTTTTGGTTAGGAACCAATTTGTTTTTATTATGATCTAAATTGGTAGAAGTTATGAACCATTGTGGCTCAAACTTTTGGTGTATACCGTATGCCCATTTTGAGGGAGTGTGTATAATGTAACACTTCTCGTATGTATATCCACCAAATTGGCTTTGGTTATGAGGTTTGGTGGTGTTTTGTTATGAACCGAAGTGGTCTTGGATATGAGGCTTTTGTGGTGTGTTTGTTACGAACCAATTTGGTTTTGTTATGATCCAAATTGGTAGAAGTTATGAACCATTGTGGTTCAAACTTTGGGTGTATACCATATGCTCCTTTTGAGGGCTGTGTATAATAATACTTCTGGTATGTATATATACCAATATTCTCTTTAAAAACTAACACTTTTACATCCATAAAACATTCATGAATTAACTGTCTAGATAATTAAGTGCAACAAAGACACAATAATCTCATTCTAGCATGAACATTTTCCCAAACTCAAGATATGCCTAAATCAACTATGAATCTTCAAATGTTCACATAACACATCGAATAATACATTGATGGTAAAATAAAATTTGTATAGCATCGACCATTATCGTCTATACAAATTTCAGTTGTAACTGTCCAACAATCTATACTGACAGTTCAAGATCATCTTCCCTGTATTCTACCTACTAATAATGATACTAATGCACAGATGTAGTTAGGTAAACTAATAACATCTTAAGGGACCATTTATACACCTTAAAATGATAAATTTATCATCATTACAGTGCATGACATGTGGACTTGTCAATGTACCTCTCCGCTTAGCTCTTCCAACTAATTGAAGAAATACTACGAGATATATTACAAAATAACCTTAATAGAGACAACATTGAGTATCTCAATCACAACATTATTTTGTTATACTCTCGTGAAACCTGGTCCTTATCTTTCTGTCATCAAACTTGCTCCCACTTCACTCTTGCAAACACTATATATATTAACATATGAAGGCAGAAGACCTATAGGTGTTCACTCAAATTTGAAATTGTGTAGATATATATACGTCACGACCCCAAACCGCCCCTTGTAGTTTGGTGCTGTGATGGCTAGTAATCCGAGATTACCGAAGGCCAACTTTCAAAATTCACACACAATCAGAGTATAGGTATGGGGGGCTCACAAGTGCGGAAGCAATAATCTAAAATACAAGTGGTCCATAAGAGCAGTGCATAAGTCAAATGGAATGGCATACATCTTTACATAGCTTTGAAACTTGGATACAAATACAATGAAGTACAAAAATACATATTACATCTTGGTAAAAGGCTTCTCAAGCCGACATGTTCAGAATACATAAGCTTCAAAATTGCCGACATAAACAAAATACATGAAATACAAGTCAAGATACATAATATTCAGGATTGCCGACATAAATATGCATCCAAAACATCTTGCAAAACACACATCTCGGCGTAGCCGACTTCTTACTTGTTACCTACATACATACATAGGGAGGGTGAGCTTGGATACTCAGTGAATGGTATAAGTAATAAAGGGGTTAAATGAATGATACCCGAGATCTTTTCAAAACAATACATATTATATCCTTGTCAAAACCATACATAACATAGCTTAGCTTGGCTTGAAATAAAACATCGTTCGAAACTTGGTCTTTCAAAACTTACATACTTAACATACGTCAATTTTAAAACATAACCTCGGCATAACCTTGGTCCTTCAAAACAAAAACATAACCTCGGCATCGAGCACACCCGTTCATAGCCCGTTGGTGGCCGATATCTTAACAAGGGTGCTACTTAGGCTTAACGTCCCCTAGCACGAAAGGACGGTGCTACTTAGGCTTAAAGTCCCCTAGCACGGAAGGACCCTCAAAACAAGATGTGCTGCGAAAGTTTAGAGTCCTCCAGCACAAGGGACTTCCAAAACAAGGGAATAATCGACCCGGAATCGATTAGACAAACCCGCCCGCACAAGGCAGTCGGTGGCAAGGGAGATATCTCAAGCAAGGGTGCTGCGAAAGTTTAGAGTCCTCCAGCACGAGGGACCTATGTTACAAAGGCCCGTAGCCCTTTAACACTAGAGTGCTGCGAAAGTTTAGAGTCCTCCAGCACGAGGGACTTTCCGAGAATGTCGTCAAAACAAAGCTTACTTGATACATTGCCATTCAAAACAAAGCTTATACTTGATACATAAAATAGGGATATCATTCATGCTTAACAAATACTTTTATCAAAACAAGGCAAAGCTTTATCCAAACCTTAAGAACATAACTTTATTAAAATACCACTCACATAGTTCTTAGGACGCCAGGGTCAAGGCAAAGGTCCAAGTCCTACAACACATGGCAGAGCATACTGAACATACTTCTCAAAACAAGTCTTACATGCATGCAATTAATCTCGGGAAAACATGCTGGAAGTCAAAACACTGTTTTACATGTCAGGAAGACATT